CTGCTAAATGGGAGCGATAATTTCCATTAGGCACATACTCGTAGACGAGGAAGACTTTGTTGCTATCGTCCTGACCACTACTGTCAATGCAGTGACCCAAGAGAGTAACCAGATGTGGATGGTGAAGCTTTGATAGTAACTCCAGCCTAACCCTAAGGTTTTGGATAGATTGTCTTTTGAACAATGTCAGGGATCGTATGGCGATGAGGTTGCCATTGTGCAATCTACCTTTGTAAACCTGACAACAAACACAGATTTAGTAATCAATGAAGCAGCCACCCACAAGATACATTTATTGTTGCAATTCCAACACCAGGAAGTCCAGTTAAGGCAACTGCAATTGTGATGGATTGAATCACTTCCACTTTCAGAGAGGGTAAATTGCATTAAAAGTCACTAAACTTGGTGTCGCTTATAAGACAGTCACCAAACTATGGTTTTTTAACAGGCTTGTCATTGAACTTTGGAATAAACAACCGTTATGTTAGTATTCCAAACTTAATGACAAATTTGTTAAAAATCAGAAGTTAGTGACCCTTTAGTAACCATTTATGTAATTGAAATGGGATTGAGTTCACAGCATTATGGAATGATTTTGTGGGGGGAGATGTGGAGTGCATATGTTTTAACAAAAATTACCTTCCCACTAGAGCCTTCACCCATAAAAGATGAGGAATGAAAGAAGTTTGTAGCTTCCTTCAGCTCCTCCAATGAAAACACACGGCATGCTGGAGACCCTTGTGTCCCAAGCTTAGCTGTTTGAGAAATAAATCCTGTCCAAGAAATACAACACAAGAAAACCAGTTCAAAACAGTGATCTTTTTGAAGTAACAGCCAAAATTAAAGACCCCTGTAAAAAAACTTACTTGCATTAGCTAGGACATCAGAGGAAAAACCAGCAGCTGGTAGGTTAGTACTACTACTATTATCCAGCACGACCTTGGAAACTATGTTATGTTCAAATTTCTTTCTAGGACGACAATTTCTTCTGCATAAACAAACAACCCCACATGTAAAGATTCCCATTAAAACCAGTGCTCCTGTAACGACAGCTACCAGTATCCCCACTGCTCTAAATCTCGAGTTCTTCATTGTCACCATCTTGGCCTCCTTGCAGTATGATTCCTGATGCTGTGAATCAGCATGAATTGCTAAGCAATTCCCACCAGATTTCACTACTCTCTTATTCTCCAAGCAAGACGGGAGTCCACCAGTCAACTTGTTCATGGAGATATCGACAAACCCGAGCTTGGAACCACAGGCGACATGGATTGGAAGTGACCCACTAAACACATTGGACGCTAAGTTGAGATAACTGATGCTTGGCAATGAGAACAAAGAAGCAGGAGGTATTCCACTGAGATTGTTAGAAGACAAGTCCAAATGTTGAAGATGTGACAACTGTCCAAATTGTGATGGAACTTCTCCTGAAAATGAGTTGTTGCTCAAGAGAACGGTGACTAGACCTTTCGGCAATGGAGGGAGGTTAGATTGAAAATTGTTGTCTCTCAAGTCCAATACATGGAGGTTGGTCAAGGCAGTCAAATCAGGGAGCTTTCCAATGAGCTGATTATGGGACAGTGCGATATCTGTTAAGGTTCTGATTCTTCTAACTGAAGAAGGAAACTCGCCCTCAAAACGGTTGCTCTTCAAGCTCAGAACAGTGAGCCTTGACAAGGAATCAAACCAATCAGGTAGAGTTCCATTGAAGTAGTTTCCACCAAGAACCAAGGAAGTAAGGTTAACCATTCTTGAAATTTGAGCTGGAACTGAACCAAAGATGAAATTGGAGCTCAAGTCCAGGAGTTGAAGTGAGCGCAGCCTATGAATCTTATCGGGAAGTGGGCCCCAAATCCCCAATGAAACAAAGCAGATAGCTTTCAAGGTGGTCAGCCTTGTGAGAGTAGTGACAAAGGAATCAATTGAGAAACTGGCAGACAGAGTCTGGTTCTGAGTTGGGGAGCCGGTGAAAGAATCACTGACCTTGGTGAGTTTCATGTCTCCCATGATCTTCAACTCTGTAATTAGATTGTCCTGGCACGCAATGCTGATGGATGGAGTAGATGATAAGTTGCAGAGGTCGCCGTTGTAGTTTTCCCAAATGTCCAACTGCTGAGGGTATTCCAAATGCTTCCTCAGTTGCATAAGGAGCTGAGCCTGGTAGGTTTGCAGCTGATGGGAGAGGGGAATAAAGAAGGAAGCCCACAAGAGGAACAACAGGAGAAGCCAGTTCAGCCGATCCATTGAAGACAAATCTCAAACACTTAGCTTATGGAAAAGGTTCAAAAAGGAATAAACTTTGGGACAAATTGGAGGAAACCCATGAAGAAATAGAAGCTGAAACTCAGACTTCCTCGAGTAAACGAAAACAGGGGAAGCAAATCAACAAGAAATCAGACAAATGGACACTTCTTCCAAGGAAGGAATAAAGACACTCCTGATGAAAACAGCTTCAAAAGCTAACCACTTCTTTTCTATGGACTGTTTTTCCTTCTTCTAGAGTAAAAACAAAGAACCCAGGAAGCAGAAGTGTTACATGGGACAGAAGGATAAACAAAGATTAGAGCTTTGGAAACAGAGGAGATTTTTTTGATGAAATGTTGGGTCGGGAGGCAAATGATAAATGATGCTGTTGTACTCGGTACCGCAAAGCTATAAATGTCGTGCGACAAACTTCTTAGTGAACTAAACTGGGAAGTATATATGTAGAAGAAAATTAATCAAGGAATAATAAATGAGAGCTAGAGGAACAGTAAGACTACTGGGAGGTGGGTAGTTGGTGAAAAGGGACCGTACAGTGAGAGAGGGAGAAGTGAAGGTAAGGGCACATTTATGTTACGAATTAAAGAAGGCGAGTAAGGTTTGGTTTTTAACTGGCGGTCCCTATCTTTCACAGGGATAGGAAGAAAAGAAGAAAAGGAAAATGGAATAGAAGGTCGAGAGAGATAGGCAACAGGGAAGGGGAAGAAGAAAATGGAGCCCTTCGTTTGGTCCTAATTTTGACCAACAAATAGTGTTTATGTTCGCATTTGCTCCCTTGACATCAAGCTTAGCAGATGAACTTACCCAAGCTCAGTAATCCTTTTTGTGACTTCGATGAGTTCAGAGAATCATTCAGACAAAAAGGGTGTAAAAGATAGGAACAAAGCAGGCATGGGAATTTGTGTTTCTCAGTGTAGAGATTAGAGAGAGAGAGAGAGAACAGTTAGAACCAGAAAACAAGGTTCTAACAGGAGGGTGGTGGTGGGCCCAATAGCTTTGCCCACATGGCAATCCTGCTTTTAAGATTGCAAAACCACGTTAAGAAGGACAAATCCGTTGTAAAAGAAGGACAAATCCCATGCTCAACTCTATAGAGAGAAGTGACTCTTTCCACAACACAGACCCAAGATTAAGCTACGGATTAATTATGCTAATATATGCTTATCATACTAATGAAACAGAAAGAGAGAAGGTGATAATACGGATACCGATGGCTAGCCTTTTATTCAAGTGCAGACAAAGAAGCATGTTTGTTGGGACTTGGGAGTCAGCCACATATTAGCTGGATTCTGCAGAGTATTGTTTATATTGCAACTTGGGGTTATGGGATCTGACTAACTCGGTCAATCCTTCCAAGCCCTCCCATATTCCCAAGTCGCAACTCCACATGGATAGTGGATTCGGCCACCTCCTTTCAAATGAAAAGATGCCCGAACCAAGCTCCTAGGATCCTTCAATAATAGGGGACCAGAGCCCCCAACCTTAAGCCTATCCAGTAGCACCCTGCTTCCCCACTGCCAAGGGCACTATCTAATCAATGGTCATGTAGCCCTAGCATTCCAGCTCTGGTTCTTGAACAATGGACTAGAGATAGATAAACTTCTACACCTCATTACTAAGGGAGTTAAAGTACTTAGTTTAGTTAGCATTTTGTTAAAAAAATTAGTTTGATAACCATTTGGTTACAGAACCCATAGTTCAGTGACCATTTTGACATTTCCCAATATTGGACAGAACATCTTGAAGACTTGAACAGAGAGGGGCCTAGGCAATTTGACAGCAAACTGGCTATTAAGGAACTAAACAGAAGCTAACTGGCCTATTCAACTTTGATGAACTGTTGGTGCTTGATTAGGACGATAATTGACACGTTAATTAGCATGGATTTTGAGGTGAGTGATTTCATGAGTGATTAAAAGGCTAACGACCAAAGAGATTCGATTCCCTAAGTGGGTACAAGAAGGACGATGCCAATGATGAAAAGTAATGAAAGACGCTTACTTTGAGGGCACTTATTAATATGGTTGGTCCTGCCCTGCGTCCATAATTTCAGCAATCCTACAGCACAAAGAGTCCAAGTTAGTAATATCCTAGAGAATAATGGCAGCTCAAAGACAAAAGGGCATCAAATTAAGGACAATAAAAGAAGGGGCCCACCTGACCAGACTCGAACCATACATGTGTAAGAAATAGCCACTGACACAAGCAGCCAAAAAGAGCTAGCTCCATATGCGTGGCTTGCTTTACTAAATCCATTGCTTCAATTAACAACCAAACTCATCTTGAGCCATTCATTGTTAAGTAGTTATTACTTGTTAATACCTCAGCTGGAAGATCATACCCATATCAAAAGATTGCAGATCAGTCCAATTCCCTCCAACCTTTCTCGCTTTCTTCATGCCCTCTGATAGTTGATAAAGAACTCTGACTCAATCACTATCCTCTTTAAAAATCTGTGTGAAAAGAGAGAATTAGTAGTACTTGATCCAGAGGATGCGAAAAACGTACCTGAAATCGCAGGAGTCAGCAACAGAAAACAGGAGACCGAAGCATTTAAACAATGAAACGCACTAGGTACAAGTTCAGAAGTTGATTTTGCATTTTAGGTCAACCAACAGTAGCATTACACGGTGTAAAAGGCTCCTGCGAGCCCAAAAGTTACAACTGAGGTCCTCTGACCTGTTTTCTACACTCAAAAGTTACAAATGCATATTTAATTACAGCTTTGAAGGTATGACTTAATTTGGCTTCATATTGTCAGAAGAAGAGTCCAGATAGGAGATTACAAGATCAGCTGCCTTGCAACCAGAGGCTATTGATTTGCCAACAGACAGTCCACCTTTATGGTTACCTAAAACGGTTGAACATTCAAAATCAGATAAGATAGCAGATATGGAGAACATTTATGCAAAGATATCACTACTCTCCTTTGAAGCTCATAATTCAACAGCTTTAGGGGCATTCCTTGATAAGACAGTGACATTGATAAGGGAGAGTAACACTCGGAACAGAATTCTCCCACTATGTGTTTCTGTTTAGTTTGTTTCCTGACTTTTAGCAACCTCTGCGTAGGCTGCGTAGGTTTTTGTTGTTCTGTTAATGGTACTGCTGTATATATGTATCCTCAGTCAATAAGAGAAATCTCAGATCTCCTGAGAACATTTACATGGTATCAGAGCTTCCATAGCCTAACAGCTCCTCTGATCCTTTCTTCCTTTTTCTTCGACTTCTTTTCCTGTCTCCACTCCCAATTTTCCTTTCTTCTCACCGCATCAACATTTCTTTTCTCTGTTCTTCTTCTTTGTCGCTTCACCATGTCGACAACTTCCAGCTCCACTTCTTCTGTTGCAGCAGCTTCATCCTCTTCCTCTTTTCCCATCTCGTTACCTTCCAACCCCCAATTGTCTGTGAAATTGTCACCCACCAATTACTTCTTATGGAGAGCGCAGCTTCAGCCTCTTCTTCGCTGCTACAATCTTGTCGGTCACATTGATGGCTCCCTCCCTGCTCCACCTGAGATGGTGGCTGATCAGCCGAATCCAGCCTATCGCGAGTGGTATGGGCATGATCAGCTGATCCTTATGTGGATTAATCTTTCCTTGACTGAGGCAGTCATGCCACATATTGTCAATAAGCACACTGCCAAGGATGCCTGGGACACGCTCGCCTCTGTTTATGCTGATGGCTCCCCTGTCATTATCGGTCAGCTTCGTCGGGATCTTCGTCATCTCCGTCGTGGGAACGACTCTGCTCACGACTACCTACAGAGGGCCAAGACGATATTTGATAAGCTGGTGGCTCTCGGTGATTCCATCAAGGAGTCAGAACTGGTTACATATGTGATTGACGGTCTTGATGAAGATTACCGCCCCTTCACGCGGAATCTGGAGGCTCGGTTGGAGCCTATCTCGTTTGCTAATCTCAGCAGTCTGTTGCTGAGTGAAGAGCTGCAGCTTCGCCGGTTTCAGAGTGCTACCGCCGGCGGTGTCAATCCCCAGGCCTTCTTCTCCGGCAGGGGACGCGGCTTTGGTCGCTTTCCTCGCGGCGGCAGGGGTGCACGATTCGGTGGCCGCCCTTCTTCTCCGGGCCGAGCTCATTTTCCTTCTTTTGCAGGTCCCAGGCCCTCACATGGCGGATTTCGGCCCACTACTTCAGGTGTTCTCGGCGCTGGGCCTCTAGGCCCATCAACAGTGACATGCCATAATTGTGGAGGCAGGGGGCACATTAAGCCCAATTGTCCAAGTCCCCTTTATCATTCCCAGCCCACTTCTGCCTCTGGCCCAGCATCCCATTTAGCCCAATCCTCTCAACCAGTCCCTCAATCTCAACAATGGCTCCTCGACTCTGGCGCAAACCATCATCTTACCTCTGATCTTGACAATTTGGTTCATCATTCTGAGTATACTGGCACTGATCAAGTCACCTTTGGTAATGGTAAACAACTTCCCATTTCTCATTCTGGTTCTTCTCATGCCCATGTTTCTGATAACGATTATGTTCTCACTGATATTCTACGTGTTCAAAATGCGCCACATAATCTTCTTTCCGTGAGTTCCTTAACTCGGTCTAACCCCATTTCTATTGAATTCTTTGATTCCTATTTTGTCATCAAGGACCGCCGCACGAAGGCTGAGCTCTATCGGGGATCTGCGACAAATGGCCTCTATTCTCTACCTCTTCACATTCAAAGTCGCGCAGCTCCTCGTGTTTTCACTGCTTCACTCGATCTATGGCATCAACGCTTGGGTCATGCTAATCTTCGTGCTGTTAAACACCTTTTGTCTTCTCATTCAATAAAGTATCATGATACTTCTGTTTCCCTATGTCATGGTTGTTCTGTTAGTAAAATTCATAAGCTTCCTTTTCCGTCTTCTCAATATCGTGCCACTGCTCCATTAGAACTTATTTGTAGTGATCTTTGGGGTCCTGCGCCTCTTCTCTCTTATGATCATCAATCCTATTATGTTCTCTTTTATGATCACTATAGTAAGTTCAGCTGGGTGTATTTTGTGCGGTATAAATCTCAACTTCTCGGTGTTTTTATTCAATTTCGCCAAATGGTCGAAAAATTCTTTGGTCTTCCCATTAAAATTTTTCAATCTGATTGGGGTGGTGAATATCAAGCACTCACTTCTTATCTTTCCAACAATGGCATTATTCATCGTTCCTCTTGCCCTTATACTCCGGAACAGAATGGTTGTGCCGAGCGCAAGCACCGTCATATTGTTAACAATGGACTTGCTATGTTGCATCAGGCACAAGTTCCTCTCAAGTATTGGTCTCTCGCCTTTGAAACTGCCTGTTATCTCATCAATCGTACTCCAACTCCTCTTCTTAACAATTCGTCTCCTTTCACTACCTTGTTTCACCACTCTCCTGATCTTCTCAATCTTCGTGTTTTTGGTTGTCTCTGCTATCCTTGGCTTCGTCCACAAAATTCTAATAAACTTCAACCTCGTTCTACTGCTTGTGTTTTCTTGGGATATAGTCGTTTACACAAGGGCTATCGGTGTCTTGATCGTACGACTGGTCGTATTTATGTCAGTCGCCATGTTTTATTTGATGAATCTAAGTTTCCCTTTAAAGATCAACCCATTGGCCCACCCGAGACCCTTGACTCTTCTTGCTTCTTACCCGACCCCATCAGCCTTCCTAACCCACCTCTCTTTTCCGATCCACCACAGCCCACCCCTACCATTCGTCCATCTCAGCCCACTACTCCCCTCAGCCCACTAAGTCCATCTCAGCCCACTACTTCTACAAGCCCACCCCCGCCCACACATCCTATTATACCTGCCTCTTCCCCATCCCCCATCCTCCTTCCTCCTGTTGGGCCGCAGCCCATTCCACCCACCCGGCCTGCTGCTTCCCTCCACCCCCAGCCCACCATTCCACCCAACCGGCCTGCTGCTTCCCTCCATCCTGTTTCTCAGCCCACCACTGCCACACAATCTCCCCGGCCTCTCCTCCAGTATCACCGCCGCCCTCACCCTGCTTCTCCTTCCTCGCCACCACTTCTCCAATACCATCGCCGAACAGCTCCTTCTCACCGCCCTGCCCCTCCTGCTCGGCCATCCTCTGGCCTCACCTCCCGTCCACCTTTTAATACATCTCCTCGAATTATTCCCCCTGCTCCGCCCTCTCCTCCACGTCGTATGGTCACTCGAACTCAGACAGGGAAACTAAAGCCGCGACTGTATCTCGCCGACACCTCATCCGGGATTCCTACCACTGCTGCACAGGCTCTCAAATCCCCTATCTGGCGTGCTGCGATGACTACAGAGTTTGATGCTCTGGTTCGTAACCACACTTGGGATCTCGTTCCAGCACCACCCAACATCAATCTGCTCACCAACCGTTGGGTCTTTGCTGAGAAAACTCATTCTGATGGGTCCATTGAACGACAGAAAGCACGCCTCGTCGCCCGGGGATTCCAACAGATTCCCGGCTATGATTTTGATCAGACCTTTAGCCCGGTATTAAAACCGGCGACTCTGCGGCTTATACTGGGGATCGCTGTGTCTCACTCCTGGCCTCTTCATCAGATCGATATCTCCAACGCCTTCCTACATGGCTCCTTACAGGAAGAGGTATATATGCAACAGCCTGTAGGCTTCATCGACCCCGAGCGACCTGATTATGTGTGTCGACTGCGGAAGTCGATTTATGGACTCCGACAGGCTCCTCGGGTCTGGTTCTCGTGCTTGTCTCAAGCTCTCTGTGAGTTTGGTTTTGTTGCCTCCAAGACTGATCCATCATTATTTATTTATCGCACTCCTTCTGCTCTTCTCTATATGTTGGTATATGTCGACGACATTGTAATCACAGGCACGGATTCAGCAACAATTCAGCGTCTTATGGATCATCTTAAGGCCAAATTTGCCTTGCGGGATTTGGGGCGTCTCTCCTATTTTCTTGGCTTAGAGGTGCATTACACAGATGCTGGCCTTCTTCTTAATCAACGGAAGTACATACTCGAGCTTCTTCAACGATCTGGCATGTCGCAAGCAAAGCCAATCACCACTCCCTGCACGGCTGATCAGCTGCTCCAGAGTGCCTCTGATTTATCTCCGGCGTTTACTGATCCAGGATTGTACAGGAGTATTGTGGGCGGCCTTCAGTATTTGAGCTTCACCCGTCCAGACATTTCCTTTGCTGTGAATCATGTATCTCAATTCCAGCAACAGCCGACAGATGCCCATTGGGTTGCAGTGAAACGCATCCTCCGTTATTTACAAGGGACGAGCACTCAAGGGCTGCTCTTTCAGAAATCCCATCAACCGCAACTACATGGCTATTCCGACGCGTCTTTCGCATCCTGTCCTCGTGATCGTAAGTCTATCTCTGATTATGCAGTCTTCTATGGTCAGAATTTGGTATCCTGGTCCACCCGGAAACAGAAAGCGGTTGCTCGATCATCCACCGAGTGTGAATATCGGGCGCTGGCCACTCTTGCCTCTGAAGTAATTTGGTTGCAAGCTCTCCTCAATGAGCTTGGCCAGTCTACGTCTACAGCCCCGGTTCTTTGGTGTGATAATCTTGGGGCCACTTACCTTGCCCACAATCCCGTCTTTCACACTCGATCCAAGCATTTTGTTCGAGACCGGGTCAACAAGCAGCAGCTAACTGTTCGATATCTCCCTGCCACTGATCAACTGGCTGATGTACTCACGAAACCACTATCTCGTCAACCATTTCGTTCCTTCTGCTCCAAGTTTCACCTCACCGAGGTTCCACTTGCGGGGGCGTGATAAGGGAGAGTAACACTCGGAACAGAATTCTCCCACTATGTGTTTCTGTTTAGTTTGTTTCCTGACTTTTAGCAACCTCTGCGTAGGCTGCGTAGGTTTTTGTTGTTCTGTTAATGGTACTGCTGTATATATGTATCCTCAGTCAATAAGAGAAATCTCAGATCTCCTGAGAACATTTACAGACATAACATAAATATGTAGATACCTGCATAGAAGAATCCCGGGAGATTTTTCTCCATTTTGTCTATTGCTTCTAGTACGGATTGATAGTCCCGCCCGTAAAGGGGAAATGCTTTGCTCCAGTAAAAATGACTGCCAACAGAATACCACGCGTAGTATGAGAACATGCTATTCCGTTGATATTAAAAAATGTACTGCAAAGGCTTGTTACAAATTCATAAAGGAATGTTTGTACTTGACAAAGGTGGGCTCTCCTTCCACTCCTAACAGCTGCCTTAGATCAAATGTAACTATCTGTTTGAGATCATTCCTGTGAACATGATTTACGGGAATGTTAGGGTACAGAAACCATAATAATTTCGAACTCAAACTTAGAGAACTTGCTGCAAACACAGAGAAGAGAATTGTATGGTAAAAGTTTTAGCATACGTCGACGCTTTTGCTAGTTCCTTGTTTCTACTTCCACCAACAAAGGTTGTGTAGAGATATTGGTCATCTGGTGCACGGTCTGGAAACATCATAGAGGAAAAGAGAGTACCTGCGGGATATAGTATGTGTGAAATGACAAGTTTTGAAACTATACGAGGACATTTCATATTCCATTGAGCACAACAAAGCATTACCAAGGGTCTTTAGACCATTTTGTTGCTCCTTAGAGGGGATAAGAACCCCAAACCCTTCAAGCGGCCTCCTAACATTCTCTTTCTTAAAAGTAGTAATTAACACTGAGAGGGGCATATACTGGACCTGTTTCATGATATATCAAGATTTATAAGATTGAGACTACAGAAACTAATGGATATGGACCTCACAGCAGTAGTAAGTACCTTGGGAAGAAAGTCCAGTGGAAAGATTTCTCTACTTTTTGTAATCTTTAATTCCGTCAGATTGTCCAGTGGTGCCTATATGACAAAGCTATTATCAGCACAAAATGCTCATCATCTGGAAGCCAAAAAGGAAAGATGTAGTCTGGAAAGATCCTTGGGTCCATCCACAAGCACATTTATGTGAGACTGATAAATCAGAGCTCAAGCAAACTAAAAAAAACCCTGTCAGAGCATTTGTTTTAGCTTATTTTTGGTTCTGTATATTTTGATTAGCATGTTTTTTCTTTTCTTTTTTCGTCTTTTTGTCAAGGTGTTCTTGTATCTGAGCAGCTTATGTCTCGTAGGCTGTTTTCCAACTTTGCTTTTATGTCATTTATCAAAACACGAAGTTAAAAGAACGATCCAACGGAAAGAGGCAAATAGTGTGGATGAATAAATGAACAGTGAAGATTACTAACCGTCATGACGACAGCATTGTAGGATGAACAGTGTGACGGCTTGTCACTATTAGATGCATATGAAATTGACCAGTTGGCTGGGGTTGATTTGGCGTCACAATTGTAAGCAAGTGACAAAACTTTTGATCCTAGTTTAAGCTCATCCTTCTCAATCTCCTTGCACAGTCTATCAGTAAGTGTCTACAATAAAGAAGATTCAACAACACAAACACGAAAGTGGAAAGTAAAAATTCAGTCTATTACCATAATCATGAAATGAAGTGCCAAATAGTACACAAGAAGTGAATATGTGTGAGAACATTGGAAGGGTGAAAATGCATGTGCGGATGGTTTATGGATGTGATCTTTGCTAACAAACCACAAGATACACTGTTCATGCTTCTCTGATACAGGACAAAGACCTTAAATGCTCATCTATCTTATCGACAGTAATAATAGAGAGTAATGTTGAAGCTCACCGAAACTAGTACAAGGAGCAAACAAAAAAAAAAGCAACGAAAACTCCAATTACCTGCATTCCACCAATAAAGGAAAATGAACCACGTTGTTTTTTCCTCTCAGAACCCATGGTTTCTCCACCCTTGTTCTTTTTAGCTGACCACTTTGCCTGGATTGTTCCAGCTATTATAGAGCCAAACCTGAATATGCATACATAATTGTCTTATTGATTGAACAGCTCCCAAGTTTTGCTGGAGAACAACTAAGCTAAACTGATCAACACCGAAATGAAAAGAACTAGCAATATAAAGGCTTTAAGGGAAAAAGAAGACTCAAGTTATACATTTTATAGCATAAATATAAAAAAGTATCATCCAAGAAGACCGGCATTAGAGTTAACCCAACAGAGTCTTTTGGTAGCTACCTCAGTGTAAACACTTGTAGAAACTAAGTAGAACATTGAAGGCATCACATTACATAGTATTAGGCTCACACCTTCACACTGAAAATATGTAAAGAAGAAAAAGAATTCAAAGGAAATTTTCATAAAATTAAGTACCGATTTTCAAGATTCCACAGCTCGGGAAAAGAATGTTGCGCCTGTTTCATGGAAGGTTATGTATGGTTAAGGTATATGGAGGGTAAATGAGATAAGAGAGACAAATTAGGCCACACAGCCCTAGAGATCATAACTCAATGAAGAAGTAATAACCATACAAGTTGCATAATCTAACAGCAATTAAGATTCAACTAGCTGTCAAAATGAAGACAGATAAATGCCATAAGAGTTCCTTTTCTAACTTTATCTCTCAAACAAAGAAACAATTGCTAAGTCTTGTTTGACAAATTATTCTCATATCTGTGTGTCTTCAAGTGTGTGTGTGTGTGTGTGTGTGTGTTCATTGTGGTCTGTGTTTCCGAAACATGAAGCAACCATAAAGAAGTTATTCCAAAAAATGAGATGTTACTCACAGAAAGAGATTCAGGATCTCCTCCACTTGTCCCAGCAACCATAGGGTCAATCAGATAGTTAACGACCTTCAGAACAGAAAAAAATAAAATGTTGAGATTCATGATCTTGAGGCATCTAAATCTAATAACTTGAAATGTGACTGAATCAAATGAACTCAACTTCAGCAACGCAACACATGCAGTACATACCTCTTCTCCAAAATGTCGCCCAAAGAACTCTCCCACACTGCAAGGTGACGAAAAGACAGAACGCAAAAGACATTAAGGTGCCAAAAGGAAAGTTCATAAATAGAAAATCACAAATAATCAGAGTCAAACAAATCCATGAACAGATTGATCACCTTTCTGCTGCATAAGCATCACAGACTTTTGAAGGTTCATTTTTCTTCCACAAAAAAGGCTCCAGGATTATCTGAATCTGCAATCAGAAGAACACAGGATCAGCTCATTTTCCTGAGCTTAAACGTCAGGCTGGAGCTTCACAAAGAGCACCAGTGCCCAACTACCGACTCCTCCCGGAATTGCGTTATCGGAGCCGAGCCAGGAATGGCCGTTAGTGGGCATCCACCACTTTTCACCGGTTAGAGAAACAAATGCAGATAGGAAAAATTGATGGCTTCTTTAGAACAATTCTTTTAAAACTCTCCCATGTTATTTTGCATCCAGAATAAACCATCAAAATGCAGAGTTCCTGGAAGGTGAAAATTTATCTTATAATGCTCAGCAAGCCTAAACTGAAATAATGGTACACAATAACCCATGGTCTGTATTGACATAAAAATATAAATTCAAATCCTTGTCTTGACAATTCTGTGTTATTCCTACAAACTGAGAAATGGCGTCAGCCTGACAACTGCATCGCTCTAAAAAAAACATCTGTTTCAGTCATACCATGAATCCAAATGACGTTAACAAGGAAAACAGCAAAAAAATTCCAATAACTAAAACCAGACCTTTGATTTTGTGGACAGGATGTTACTCGTGATCAACGCAAGTGGATTTGTAGGAATCTGGCATAAGAAGTTAAGTAGAGTTACTGAATCAGTCATAGATAGATGTTGAACCAAGAAGACAACTTAGCATATCAGCCATGGGACAAGCAGTAAAAACAAAAGCAATGATAATTACCATCACTGGAACTCCGTTTCTTACAATATACCGCTTGTTCTGTGAAATCGGCTGCAAAGGTAACCAGAGGAATCTGTCAATTAAGTAGTACAAATTTCAGCATGGGAACAGCTGAGCAACAATTTCATCATCCGGATATGATTCAAGAACATAAGAGTAATCTTCCAGTTTTTCACAACTGATTACTTCAATAGCTAAAGTCAGATCTTCTAGTACCCTTTATCGTCAGCATGACACAAAAGAAAGAACTTACAAACTGTTGCTTCTCTCGAAGTCCGAGTTCATCAAGCAATGCCGTGACCTCCACCTCGCTCTCAGTCTGCAGATATCACCAAAATGCCAAAATTAAGCAGTCCCCTACTAACACATTCATCCCCCAAAAGGCCAAAAATGGCTGATCACAAGTAAGGATGAAATCAACTCTGGGTCAATATTTCACAAATTCAAGAAAATTGAATAAAACATCCAATAAATACTTCATACCATGGTATTGGCCCCCTCATCCCAAATCAAACCATCACGAGAAACACTTCTCAGCTTCCCTCCAGCACTACATTCAGCTTCAAACACAGTAACATTGTAGCCACGCGATCTCAGCTTGTACGCAGCAGCCAGCCCACTGCAACACCAAACAACCCACTTCCATAAACATCACAATCCCAACCGGAAGCTCAACCCCACTTACAAAACGCCATCATTCACTAGTTCGCTTATAAGCAACGAAGACTCAACGTCCTAGCTAGCCAACCAGCGAGAAACAGCTTACCTGACACCGGCGCCGACAACAGCAACCTTCCCCGGAGAACCTGAGAATAAAAATGGCCAGGCCGCCATTAATTCGAGAAATTCAAACTTGCAGTTAACATGCAATTGAACTGAGGAGTAGCAAGGAAGCAAAACCGACTTGGCTGATTCTTATCTTCTTTGGTAGCCGCCGAGCCCATTTCCGATTATTTTTCGCCGGAATTCGATCGTTCGTCGTCCTTGTTTCGGTGGTTTTCCAGAAACTGAGGTTGCTTGTTCAACGGGTAGGAATCGTAGAAGTCCTTTTCGGTCTAGTATCAGAAGTAGTTGTAGCAGTCGTAGCAGATAGCACCTCGTTTCGTGGCTGCTCAGTCACCGTTTGGCGCTATTGGTGGATTGGATGCGTCAGTATGTCTGGTCAGCGGATGGTTTGGGCTGTGTGAGTGAGGTGAATGTCTATCTAGGCCCAGGAATGTTTGGGGGATGGCCTTTCTGGGCCATTGGATCGTTATTTGTTAAGGATCTTATTCATTGGGCTGGGCCCAAATATGAGCTATGAAACTTATTCCTTGCTAGATATGTCAACTCAACCATGCATTGCATACTAGGGCTGGGAAACAGTCCGGTCCGGTCAAACTGGGACCGGATTAACCCGGTTTTTTACAACCGTTTTGAATAAACCCCTGACCGAAGACAGGATTGGATTGGATCCGGTTTTAACTGTGACCGGATTGGATCCGGTCCGGTTTCAACCCAAAAACCGGATTGTGATTAATCCCTCTAAAAACGCCAGCGTTTCAAGATAAATTTGATAAAAAAATTAAAAAAAAAATTTGAACATAAGAAGAAAGTCCCTCATCTCTCTACTTCCTCCACATCGCAATTCGCAACCCTCTCTCCTTCACTTCTCGATCTGCTTCTCTATTCTTTTTCTCTTTCTTCCATCTACCCTCTTCTTTCCGATGAGGCAAGCAGGTTGCCCACCCGCTATGTCGGAACTGTCTTTTGCCTGCGTTGTGAGCATCACCATCTCCGTTGCCCAGATCTGCCTCGGCATGCAGAGAGGAGAAGATGACGATTTACAAACCAGCGAGGGAGTTGGGTGGGAAAGGCGACGATTCGCCGAGTAGGGAGGCGGCGAGTGGAGAGGATGGTCATCATCGCCGCGTTTGCTTCATCGTCGCCGTGAGGTGCCTCCGTGAGGTGCCGCCGTGAGTTGAGGGTGAGGCTGGAGAGATGGAGTTGGAGTTGGAGTTGTGGGTGTTTGTGTAAGGGGATTTGGGAGAGGAAGAGAGATGGTGGGATAGAGAAAGAGTCTGCCACTGGGAGTGGGATGGGAAGGGAATTGGAGATTGAGAGGAAAGTGGGGAAATTTTAATTGGGTTAGGGTTACGGGGGTTGGGTGTGGGCTGGGACTGGGCTTGGGTGTGGGCTGGCGGAGCATTAGGCAGGCTGGGCTGGCTAGGATAGTTTTATTTTTACAATCCGGTTTTTCCGGTTTTAACCGGATCGGACCGGCCATACAGACACCCAAACTGTAAACTGGATTGGGTTAATGGGTATCCGATTTCCGGTTGCAACCGGAACGGTTTTAACTGGCCGGTTTCCGGTTTGACCGAAAAACCGGGACCGAATTTCCAACCCTATTGCATACTGCTAAATCAGCTTTTGGAGTTGGAACTTGGAGGTGAGGCGCCTGCCTAGCTTGATAGGGCCAGCATTAATTAGGCATAATCCAATCACTTTATAATTTTTGATTTTTTTCTAACCATGTAAAAAATTAACATGTTATAATTAATAAGCTGATAAAATATTGAGAGGAACATATATCCGCTCCTGGACATGTAGATCCACAACTAGTAAAAACTAATAGGTACATGCACTACAAAATAATTATTTTATGCAACCATAAAAAAAGTTGCTGAAATTTAGGAAATAATGTTCAGAATATTTCGGTGAACATAAATAAAGGTCACCACGATGGTTGACAAAATGTCACCTCCCAATTTATAGGTGATGATATATTTCTGGTGGCAACCGAAATGATAATTTTGGTCGACCACTTTTTTTTATACAATCGTCGAAAGATTATTTAATTAGGCGACTCATTGAATATGCATGATCAACCTATTTAAGAAAAACCTAATACCGAACAACTCTCGAGGGGAACAAAAACACACACAAGAGAGCGGGCTTTTTTTGACCCATCAAATAAGACAACAAGCTATTGTATTAAGAGTTCACAATTAAAGATGTGATTATGAAATCCAGACTCAAGATTATGTACGTACATGTCATTCGGTAATGTATATATATTTTAACATGCTCCCATAATTGTGGGGGGTAAAAGACACTTGCAATTTAGGAGATAAGTATAGTATGTACAAACTAATCAATTAAGATTACCTTGCTAAGTAATACAATGTCGAGTACTCCAGTCTTTCTCATTTGAAATATAGAGATCGGTCGTGGAGATTTGATTATAAGCTAAGTTAGTTAACCCTCTTTTTTGTCTTCTATGTAGCTTTTATAAGTAATCCCCTAACATATACATATATGGTAACTTCATTATTAATATAGTGATGGAAAAAACAAAACATCTAATAACTTGGCGGCAAAGCGATTTTGAAATTGCAATGATTAATTGGCACTAACTAGATGGACCAATATCAAATCATCATCATTGTGTTCCCAGTTTTGAAGGTAGCCCAAAACGGCAAAAAATTGACCTGCCTTTTCCGAACCACTTAACTCGATCATGATTTGTCCATGGGGATTTTGATCCGTCTCAAACTTTGTTGGATCTTTTTTTTTTTTTGGTGCGAACTTTGTTGGATCTTTTGGGATTGTTTTAAGGCAAAATACGCTTGTATAGCCATAATTTTGCACTTTGTGACAATAATAGCCAATTTCTGAAAAATACACTTGTATAGCCACATTTTTTAAACTAGCTTGACAAATTTAGCCATTTTCGTTAAACAATTTAACGTCGTTAGTGACTCTGTTAGTAATATGGACGGTATGCTTATGTGGAAGCCATCTCAGCTTCCATGTCAGCTCTACCTCGCCATGTCATATCACTTGGCTGCCACATCATATGCAAATTTTAAACAAAAATAAAATTCGTTCTCGATAATCGACCACACTTGCTCCGATCGTCTTTCCCGACGGAACACATCTTCTCATCCCCAACCCTTGGCGTCCTCTGCCGCCTCTCTCGTTGTCGATGAGGGTTTTTATCTCCTTCCACTACTTCTATCAACTGCCATTACTGGGATGAAAAACGATTACAAAGCTCTGATAAAGATCTCTGGCAGCGACTAGGGTGGGTGAAACGAAGTAGATCTGAATCTCCATTGCAATTAATTGACAATCACCACCAAAATGTATATCTGAATTCCAGCCTTCAACCCAAAATTTTGAAAAATCATCCCCTCTTTAAGAAGGTGAAACGAACAGATGGGGCGGAGAACATGTCTGCTTTCTTCTTGAGTTTGCGGCATCTTGTGGAAAAGTTCTCCGCCACCAGATTTCTTCTTCAGAGTTTGCGAGGTCATGGTCACCGAATTCAGTAATGGTTGGCAGATTAGGGATTTCTCTCCATAGAGATTAGGGTTTATAGATTGGGGATTTTGAGAGATTCAAAACCCAGGAAACCAAAAACCCAGTCCCAACCCCCTAGCCTATCAATCCCCCAACTCTAGAAACTAGAAAGAGTGCTCACCAAACTCTAGAAGAGAGCTTCACTTTCCGATGCAGGCGAAGCAAGCACCAGCCAAATCAAAGCAAAACAAATAAAAAGTTGGTCGAGCGACTTCGCCGCTGTCTATCCAGACCATGGATTCGACGCATCAAGGAAGAAGGCGACGGAGACTCTGATTTCGTAGCCGAACTCGTCGATCTTCTGTGAATCAAGGAATCTGCCGTCGTCGTGGTGTTACTGTTGTTGGATTCAGCGAATTCGAGTAGGGGGAAGCAAAAGGCTTAGAATTGATTGAAGAGAAACTGATAGATCTCAATCCCCGCTTCAATCGTCGTCACCCTTGTGTTTAAACTTTGAAGGCTCTGAATATCGAAGAAGATGAAGAAGTGATTTTGAGGCTGCGGCCTTTACTCTCGAAGAAGATGAAGGAGGGATTATGGCCGAGACCGTAACTCTCGTTGCACCTGTGTTGGATTTCGGATCTTGACTACGAAGATGAAGGATGGAGCGGCGGTGGGGCGGTGGGGAAGGGAGGGGATGGAAGGGAAGGTAAAGCGAGGTCATAGAAGGCAGTCCATTTATTTTCATTATTTTATTTTATTTTTCTTTTTTTTTAATTAATTATAGACATTTCCAACTTGGCAAAGTCAGAAGAAAAAGTTGACACATCATCAAAAGACGTTAGTCCAGTAAGCCTGTATCACTGCACCGTTAAAATTATGAACGAAAAGGCTATTTTAGTCTATTTTTCAAAATTTGGCTATATTTGTCACAAAGTGCAAAGTTATGGCTATCCATATGTATTTTGCCTTGTTTTAATTATTTAGTGGGGATAAAAAGTCATGTTTAGTTGGGATTAGCTAGCTTACTATGCTGTATGCAGACTTTCAAAACTTTGTGCCGCGAATAATTCCAGCTCAATTACATTAATTTAAGGGTTATAGTGAAAGAATAAGTCACCTCTACTTTGAATATACATGTACTATAATTAACTACTATAGTACATTAGTTCTACAAGCTGAAATTAGAAGTCTGAAAATTCTGATCCAATGCCATGCATAAACAAAAATTGGCAAGAACCAATGCAGTTAACGACGACGTACCTCACCATTTATGAAGTTCCACATGTGCTGTTGCTCTTAATATGCAACCCCTTTCATTTCTTCCCCTCCCCTGCAGTAACTATATACTATGACCACCTTATACAAAGGCAAAAGAAGGTTAAATTTCAGAGAGCAAACTACAAAGGATTTTTTGTGCCCTAAGTTGTATTATTAGTAGAATGGAGTGAAAATAGTCTAATAATGTCATATCACCGTCGATAGGCTAAATTATTATCAACAATGTGATAATCTAATCTACAACGGGATTATTGATAAATTGGTTTGATGATGACAGTTGTTTTGTGAAACATTTATATACATATTTTGAGTGTCGTGCTTCTTAAGCGCCTATGTAAATATATAAGGTTCGAATCAATAATTCATCAGTAATGATGATTTCACCTATATATAGTAAAATTGAGCATTACTAATCAAAGACGAGAATAGTAATCCATCTCCATCACTTTTAACCTATCTTCTAATCACGTAAATATGTCTTGATGAATTGACCAGGAGATACCAGAAGGGGACAACATTCAATTGGGTTAGATATGCAGCAGCGTG